GCATAAGGCGCCTCCTCTTCCTCCCACACACACACAATTGTGAGTGGATTCTTAGTCGTTTCAGATAACATCAGAATACTCCCCTGTGCTAATGTAATACATTGTCCATTAGAGGGCAACATGTACATTGTAGAGAAAGAATGCAGCTCTGCTCCCCCCCCCCCCGCACTGAAGATATTATTCCAATTGTCTTCCAAGTTGATTTGTTTTTTTCTCTTGTTTTGTTTGTTTTTGTTTGTTTACTCTTGAGCATTTGTATCCTACACTGCTAGACACAACATTGCTAAATTGGCATTTGATCTCAAAATCAGTCAAAAGCCTTGCAGTACCTTCAAGACAAAGGGTTCTATACGGCATAACCAGGTTCTACTTTAACAGTTGCATTAAAGCCATTTCCTTCATAAATCTGTTAATCAGTCTGATCTTCTGTTGAAAACTGGTATAGGCACCACTTAAAATTTTGTTGGCATAGGTCATATCTTGTTGCATTGGAAACATGCGGGGGGGGGGGAGTCTATGAAAATGGAAGACAATGAAATAAACAGGAGAACAAAATGGTAATCGTCCCATATTAAGACCATACAAGCTCACATGCAGGAGTTACTTTTCTCTCCGTATGCCCTCTTTTATACATCTTTCTCTGTTGCATTTGTTTCCAGTTTTGTTTGTACAGGAAGTGACACTGTATTCCCACTCTCCAAAGGAAACCTCCAAAGGAAACTTTCATTTAGCTCATGGAGAGCCTGGGTGGGGTTTTATTTATTTATTTATTTTCCTTCCTTGCTTTGCTTTTTCCTGCTCAATGCTGCAGATTAAAGAGTGGCACTGCAATGCTCTTGAATGGTGACATTTAGCAGATGGATATAGACAAGGGAAACCTATCCTCTCATCCATAACCATGAAACACACTGGGAGACTTTGGCCAAGCTACTGTCTCTCAGCCTAGGCTCCACTGTAAGTGTGTTGTGTGCATGGAGGGAAGGAGTTAAATGAAGGGTAGGATCCATATCCACTCTCCAGGGTCAGCCCAGGACATTTTGCTGGCTGAGGTGAAAAGGCGCATGGCACTCTATCTCCCCAAATTCCATGTACAGATATTGACACAATGGCAGTTGATGTTAACTTCAGTGCTACGGGTGGGACAGTGTCTTCCAGGTTCGCTTAGTGGGAGCAGGCCAGGTCTGGCAGCCCACACAACTCTCTTATTTCTCTCCTTGCCAGGGCAACTGTCTGACCCTGCCTAATGGTGAGGCCAGCCCCAAGCTCCTGAAGAAGCACTGCATGCCAACCATGAGATACAAATAGAACAGAACTTTCTGGGAAATTACTCTTAACTCATTTGAAAAGGCTCAGCAAAGCTGCCACATGGAGACTACCTTATCTGGTTTCCAGTGGTGGCTGTTTCCAGATAAAACCCAATTATATGAAAAGGTTGCTACCTGGATCTTAGGGAAAACTCTGCTCCATGCACTGCATGGACTATAGCAAAATGACTGCATCAAAGTGCTCCCATGGGACAGACCGGATGTAGCATCCTGGCGCTACAAGGCTGGGAACCAACAAAACTTCGGCTCAAAAGGGGAGAAGAGGCAGAGAAGGCTGAGAAGAACCATTTCTGGCCTGGGATGATCAACCGTTGCACAAGCACAGGACTCGGTCTTACCTTCAGAACAACGTGTGCCTGAGAATAGCCAAGTGGTAGGCATGACCCTCATTACAATGGGTGTGGTGTGAATTTTTATTTCCTATCCATGGCTGTGGACTTCTGAAAGTGTGTGCAGGCTGGATGCAATGTGAATTCACAGAGTTGGGAGCAGGAGAGTTCAAGCCAGGGCTATCTGTGGGAGGTAAGCAGAAAGCAAAGCTCTGTAGCGGCAATGTGGTGGTCTGAAATAGCTCTGGGCCAGCTTTCCACTGACCCCAAAAGGTAAATAAATGAAACGCAAATATAAAAGTGTCAGTTGTGTGCATATTCAATGCCAGCATTTCATATTGTCCTGATGTCACAGCACTGTTCTTGTTACTGGTTCTAAAAGATTTAAAACCGTATCATAACGGTGCCTTCTGACATTTTACCGATCAGTATAGAAACTGGACAGCTGTTGGATGGAAAGATCTATGGAAGAAAGGAGGGGGGATGGAATCAGCTTGAAAGTACCAGAAGTGGGTTTCCAAATGACGTCTTCTTGTGCTTGGTTTAGGCAAGACAGGGCCAAGACATCCTACTGCCCCCTAGTGGCTGAAGCACACAATTAATGCATCGCAGACTAGCCTATTTATTGTTCTGCGCACCCAAAGCCGTTATGCTCAGCCGTACAAAGAGCTCCAGCAAAGGCATTTGCTGTACTGAAAATGTAAATTCAGGATATGCCTTCTAGTGGGGCAGGGAGGTGGTTCAATGGGTAGGACACATGCTTTGCATACAGAAAATCCCAGGTTCAGTTCCAGGCATTGCCAAGTAAAGCCTGCCTGAAACCTTTGAGAGCTGCTGCCAAGCAGGGTTGATTGACAGACTGTGTTAGATGGACCGAGGCTCTGATTTTGTAAGAGGCAGATTCCTATAAAATCAGAAAGGAAGTTTCCATTTGTTTAGAGTTTCTAGGATTGTAAATTGCCTTCAGTGCCATTTTCTTGGTAGATCAAATCAATAAATGCTATTTATTTTGGTGGCTAACACATGGACTTGGGGGAAGTGCACAGTAACAACAATACTAATACTAATAATATTGCACTAAATATGCAAAAATGCAATAAATATCAGGGTGCACAGCCTTTTTCACTCCAAGTGTCACACTGGGTGTCTAATGGGGTGGCCAAGGTCACACAGATGTGTCTGCTGGCAGCTCTCCACACTTTTCACCCACTTATGTGTGTCTGCAACAAATATTACCTAAATAGGTAGTTAAAATTGCACATTAAAAGGAAAAATGGGTGAAGCAGGCTAAAACACGAGCATCAGAAATTACAAATATCTGAGTTCAGTGCTTGCATTTCCACTTCTCCATTTGGGCAAACATTTTGTCATCCCTCATGAGAGCAGCATATTCAGCCCTACATGGGAAGCCTTCCATACCATCTGCAGATAATTGTTGATTTACCTTGTGCTGTCAAAGGATGTTGACAGAAACAGACATGGGATTCATTCTGGATCTCATGATATCTAAGAGCAGACTCACTGAAACCGATGGGGCAGAAATCAGCCAGGACTAAGGAATGCCCCATTGGTTTTGATGGATTCATTCTAAATATGACTAAATCTGGAAGCAACGCAACTTTCTTCTCCTCTTGTCCCTCCCCACCCCACCCCACCCCTCCCCACCTCACCCACCTATACAAGGTAGTTCAGCACTGCAATGTTGGGATGAGAGGAACACACAGACATTAAAGAGCTAAACATGTAATTCAAATAACTAACAATTCCTATTTTTGGAGAAAGGAAGGAAAAGCACCAGGAAATGATGGGGGTGGAGGACATAGGAGTACTTCTTTGTATAATGCATAATTCAAGGCTCAGACCCATGCATGTCTAGACAAAAAAAACCACTACAATTCCCAACATGCCCCAACTAGCCATGGGAATTACAAGACTTTTTTTCTGTCTAAACATGCCTAGGACTGCACACTTGGTTCATTAATTAACAAATGTGTGTTCTAATCGGGGAACTAGACAAGTCAGAACATGGAACAGTTTGAATCCATAAGGCAATTTCAATTTTATGGATTGAAAGGATAGATTGACAGGAAGACATTCACTAGGATGTAAATACACAAGAAAAGCCATCCTGGATCAAGCAGATGCCCCTTCCAGTCCAGCACTCTGTTCACATAAGGACAAACCAGCATGCTGAGAGCTGTAGGCCTGTTTGTTTGTTTGTTTAAAATTGCATAGGATTGTATCCTAGCTGGCATTAACAAGGGATTCCATTTATTAAAAAAATTCTTACACCCATTTATAAATACAAATATTAACAAAGTATAGTTCTAATCAAACACACACCAGTCAAATAGCTTTTAATAATAAATATAGTTATTATTGAATCCTGAACTTTCATTTTCCAGTTGTGTGTGTTATATGTATCTGTATAAAACAAAATGATTATCTGCCCTTCTTGGACTTTATCATATTAATTCATGTCAGGGAACATAATATCACAAAACAGATTTCCTCAACCGGTGCCTTCCAGATATTTTGGAATACATGTCGAATTCCTAAATATTCACCAGTACTGGAACTGAAGTCCAAAATATTTGGGAAAAGCTGTGATCCAACAGCAATTTAGGGAGGATGGGGTCTACCAGCCATGCTAACGAAACCTGAAGTTCGGAAGCATCCTGCCACGGGACACCAAGTGCTGGGGGTCGGGAGAGAAAGACAGCAGCGGGGTGTCTTCATGCTGTCCTCCCTCCGAAGCACCCTGCTCGATACCGATAGGAAATGGAAACGTGGATCAGCAAGGCGGGTCTGGCAAAGAGAAACAGCACAGGAGCACGCAAGAAGAAAAAGCAGGCAAATCCCACGCCTCCAGCCTGAGCAAGAGTTGTGGGCGCAGGTTTCTCCTAAGGGTACAATCTTATGAAGTCCACAGGCAGCTTAAAGAAGTTCGGGGCTGGGGAGACCAAACGGGTGCGGAAGTCACCTGTTTTGCAAGCCCTTCGAGGCCAACAGTGCTGTACGGTGTTTTCTAATTATTTGTTCATAACAACTTTGTGGGCGCGGGCAGAAGAAATGTAGGCGACTGCAGCCCATTCCTAATAACAGGCCAGCACATACGCGCGTTTAAGCAGAGAAAATTCTGAGTTGAGTGCTTTTTTCTGGCTAGACACAGATAGAATGGATCCCTCAAGGCATTACTCCTAAGGGGTCCACGGGATCGTGTATCGGAAGCGTCTCCCTCACTTTACAGCCGCAAGGCCACAACAGAGAGGAGGAGGCGCCCGCCTCTCGCCCAGCCCAGCCGGGGGCGGAGAGAGCAGCAGGAGGCCACCCTCCGGTGCTCCTGGCTCAATGCTCCGGCTATGAACTCTTCCCGGCTAACGAGTCGCGGGGAGCTGCTGCTGCTGCGTTTCCGAGCTGCCCTTGGAAAGTCACCCCTCTCTATCCGGCCGGTAACTAAATAGCGCTCCCCGGGATCCCCCGATTTGTCCCCAGGCTGCTTCCCAGGGACCTCCCCGCCCGCGCAAACGTGCTCACCTTCCTCCGTCCTGTGCGAGGCGCGCCGAGCGGTGGCGCTCTCTGGCCAGTGCGCGTTCCGACATAGTTTGTGTCTCACGTGTAAATGGCAGGGATTGATCCGGAATCATCGTCGCGCTTTGTGTGCCCCTGTGGGGGAGTCTCCTGTTCACGGCCGTTCTGCTCATTTACTCGGAAGGAAGCCCCACTGCATTCAATGGGACTTAAACCTCGGTAGCATTGCAGCTTTGTGCGGGATTTAAGTCCCAGGCTAGTCTTTATGAGGTTCTCACATCGCAAGAATTCACATGCAGCACAGGCCGCGCAGGGGACCCTGGAGGGAACAAGGCTGCCCCTCTGTCTGCTGCCCTAGAGAATCTGAAGAGGGTCACGGGGGAATGTTCCCAAATACTAGCACCAATATGTCATCCTACATCGTAGTCTCTTCCTATTTCAGGGTCGCCTGGGCGATTTTGCTGCATGATGAACAACAACAAGGGGTATCTCTCCACATCCTTGGCCATAAAATAGTTAATATCAATACATTAAGCAGTCCTGCCTTTTCAAGACACCCCACATTAGCTTCCTTAAGCAACGGCTTTTCTCTGCTTTAGGTTGCCCTGGGATGGCACCTCAATTGCACTTACTAGGATGATTTGAGGCTCAGACTTCAACCCTGTGTGTACTTACCTGGGAGGAAGCCCAAATAATGTGCGTCTGCTTTGCATAGGCATTTTAGCCAAGCCTTTGGTATTGAGCGTAGTAGTGTGCTTTTAAATCTTTGTAAAGTGCCCACAAAGCTTTGCCCAATGGGTGGTACAGAAATGTAAAAAATGAAGTGAACGCAAGATGCCTTCTGAGTAAACAAGTCTTGGGCTGAGCTGTCAAGGGTGGATGCCACCCACTGCGCAGCTGCGCTCTACCTCTGTGGCCACAGGGATGACCTGAGGGAGCAAACGCTGCTCGTCTTTCTGGAGGACCACTGCCAATGTGGCACTTAGCTGTATTTTGTGGTTTCTCCTTCCCCCAGGCCCATCTTGGTTCTCATGCTTCTAAAACTCTAGTACTAGAACCTTCTCCCATATGATAGTAACATCGGGGAAATTTGCATCCAGCATTCTTGCCAAAGGAAGCCTCAGAGGGAGACACTGCTCAGCCACATGGGCACTGATGCTCTGAGGTTTCAGTACTATTTTCAGCCAGTTTGCATGCTTCCTTTTGGAAGCTTTGCTTCAATCTGAATCAGGCAAAATGGTGGTCAGGGCTTAAGCATACACTTCACATTAAGGACCAGGTCTCTCTGGGCACATGCTCAGCTTCAGACTATTTTCAGTACCAAATGTGCTCGCAGTCCTGTCATGTGCAAACTAATGCTTGTCACACACAACCCTGTACCCCACAAGCTTTCTTTGGCTATGCTGTTAATTTGGGTATGTAGGAGCCTTTGTGCTGCTCACTGAAACAATTGAACCACGCATTTTAGCCAATCAATCTTTTTTCCTATAAAGAAAACAGAGATGCAATATGTTGATTGCCAATAACCCCAAAGCTCCATTCATATGCCCCCTCCTGTACCTATCCCACTTTTACCCAAGCACCTCAGTGGCTGCTCCTTCTCTCCAATTCACTTGTCCTTGAAATTGTTTCCCCAGTGCAAATCCTGATAGAGAAGACAACCTGTATACTGCTGTGGTGACTCTTGAGGGTCATGCCTGGTAGCATAAAGCACCATGTGTCCCGGGTAAGGACACTCTACAGGAAGATCCTGCAGCTGCATCGAGCATTACCACTGGAGCTGAAAGCCCTGGGAGATCAGTACATGAAGGATGAATTCAGGAGACACAAATCAGTTGGCCCAGAAGAGGCCCAGCGCTTCCTCCAGGAATGGGAGGCAAGTGTCTTAGAAACATCGCTTTGTTTTCCATCACGTGTCTAGTTTCTTGCTTTAGTTTTGGGTGGCATTGAGTCTGCATTATCAATATATTGTTTGCTGGTCTTTCTGGTACTCCTGCATTAGAAGTACATTCTGTGATGGCTGGGTTTGTTTGTTGAATTAATAAACATGAAGCGCTCTAGCACTTTTAAATGTGCTGCAGGTTTCACAATCCTTACTTGTTTTATTGACAGCCCCTGCTAGACCTTCTTAACTTAGCCAGGTCTGCTAGGAAGGTTGTGGGTAAGTTAGTGAGCTTTGGATTGTAATCACCAAGCCCATTATTCTTTCTTAGGTTTAAAGTGACATGGATAGCTCTTACCATGCACGTGCATTATTCGAGTGCCATGTTCCTTGCCCTGCTCTCGCTTTACTTGGCTTCTTTTAAAGGTCCTCTTATAGAAACTGTATTCACAGGCCTTATGATTCCAGCATCTTTTCATGCATTTCTGTTACCCATCCTGTCCCTCCCTTCTGTGCTTTATAATTGCGTCTACATTCCTGATACATGAGAAGACCCAGCAGGACCTGGAGCTCAGCCCTTGCTGCTCTACTGAACAGAGAGCAGGGACATGAAAGAAAGTGCCACTCTTGCTGCTTCTGTCCTGGTCCGATGCAACTGTGCACTCTGGAGCATGAACCTGGGGAAAAATATTAGTATTCTCTCCTGCCATGGAAGCATGGCTTATCTCCTGAAAAGGCAAGGAGACCCTGGCTTTCCTTTTGTTACCAGATGATGATTCCCATCACACTGGACCACTGGTGGGTTTCCCACCCTTCTTCTCACATGTTGTATATGGAACCACATAAAATAACAAAGCCCATATCTGTTGTGATTGTGGGAACTCCAGAAAGATGCCTTTGGACATTAACATGCCCTAGACACTTCCCTAAGCATGCACCCCCTGCCCCTCCCAATTTTTTATTTTCTTTCTTAAGATTTCTTAAAATTGAAATGTTGCAAAGCGAATTCCTGTTTTCTGGTGCTGTATGTATTTGGGTTGTAAGAGCAGTTTTGTGTGTCAGAGCTCAGCCCCCACTTCTGCCTTGTCTTGGATTCTTGGGCTAAGCAGACATTTACATGCGTGTGTGTGTGTGTGTGTGTGTGTGTGTGTGTGTGTGTTAGTCCCACCAGTTGCTTTCTGGGAAATTAATGTTTTGTGAACAGCCATGCCACCATGACAGCCATTTTATGAATGAGTAAACCAGCTTCCATGGCAACCAATTGTATGAGACTGCTCACCACTAGAAACATGAGAGCATCAGGAGAAAAACAAACAAAATTTGTGGGAAAAAACCTGAAAATTTGTGTATTCTTATTTTTTCTGGGACCACAAAACCCAAGCAAAAAACCCCCTTTTCTGATTTTTTTCCAGTGTTTCCCCCCTGGGCCTTCATATATCTACTCACAGCTTTTTCAAAATTCCAAATTTGCCTGCTGGCCCAAAATGTTTGGGGACCCCGGTTGTAAATTGAAGAGGGAAAAAACTGAGAACAAATATGATAGGCCCCATCCAGAAAGAACAAACACAATATCTGCTGCACTGTATTTCCCTCTGTATGTAGTGGACTTTGTTTAACTGTGTGTATGTGTATAGAAGGCATAGATAGAACGTTTCATGCCTTCTATATATGTGTGCTTCATTCCCTTTGTTTCCTCCCCACCCCCCGCTTTTTTTTTGCTTTGCTTTTCAAATAGGCACCTGGGAATAAGAGAATGCATGTAAGAGTCTAAAAGAAATAAAAAGCAGAGTGCCTTGCTTTGCATGCTTATTCCTGTATTTTGCTCTCAGATTAATGTTCTGTCTCAAAAGCCACAGGGAAGTGTTTGTGCTGGAGGGAGGTCTATAAACAAAACAAGCTTTGTTTATGAGGAAGTGCTGCTCTTCAGGTAGATCTAATCAGCTATATCAATTATTAACACATGCCTTTTCCAATATAATAAATGTTTACTTTTTTAATTAAAATAATTGGTGCTCTTTAAGAAGAGGCAGTTGTTATGAATGGCTTGATCATGGTTGTTACTTAGGAGCATTATTGAGGTAATGCTGCAAAGTCATTTAATCCAGCCATTTAAAAAAAGGCTCTTCGCAGTAATGACTGTGCATTGTTTAGAAACCAATAATAATGATTAAACATAATATTTAATTTTCTATATCTAGTAATGACTGTGCATTGTTTAGAAACTAATAATGATAATTAAATGTAGTCTGGGCCAGCATCAAAGGGAGGCATTGTGGGGCACATGCCCACACTCCATCATTGATCAGAGTCCCTGGAATTGTTCCTCCTCTTCATCTCTGGAGGCTCCTCTTACCCTCGCCTGGTCAGGGCTGGTGGTGGGCGAAAGAGGTGCACTAGACACCCTCTTGCTAGCTGTCTCTCTGCCTGTTGAGCAAGCAAGCCTTGGCAAGGATGCAGAAGAGAACACGGAGCAATTGCAGTTTGTGACAAGGGCAGCAAGAGGGCAGATTAACAACGCCAAGCACGGGATTGGGACCTGGATCTTGGAAGTGGTTAACGCTTCTCTGAGGGAGGGTCGGGTGCCTGCCCCTTTAAAGGAGGCGGTAGTCCGACCGGTCCTGAAGAAAGCGTCACAGGATCCAGAGATGGCCACTAATTATAGACCAGTGGCCAACATCCCGTTTCTGGGCAAGGTGTTGGAGCAGGTGGTGGTGGGACAACTCCAAGCACTCTTGGATGAAACTGATTATCTGGACCCATTTCAGTCCGGCTTCAGACCCGGGTACGGTACTGAATCTGCCTTGGTTGCCCTGTACGATGACCTGTGCAGGGAGAAGGACAGGGGGAGTGCGTCCCTGTTGGTTCTTCTGGACCTCTTAGCGGCTTTTGATACCATCGACCATGGTATCCTTCTGGATAGGCTAGCGGGATTGGGGGTCGGAGGCACTGCTTTGCAGTGGTTCCGCTCCTATCTCAATGGCCGGTTCCAGAAGGTGGTGCTGGGGGACTATGGCTCTGCGCCATGGCAGCTATGCCATGGAGTACTGCAGGGATCCATTTTGTCCCCTTTGCTGTTTAACGTCTACATGAAACTGCTGGGAGAGGTCATCAGGAGGTGTGGGCTGCGGAATCATCAGTATGCTGATGATACCCAGCTCTACCTCTCGTTCTCCACCAATCAAGGTGAGGCAGCGGCTGTGCTGAACCGGTGCCTGGCCGAGGTAATGGGCTGGATGAGGGCCAATAAACTGAAGCTCAGTCCAGACAAGACGGAGGTCCTCTTGGTTGGCGGATCGGGCTTCGGGGAAGGTGAATTGAACCTAGTCCTGAATGGGGTTGCACTCCCTCTTAGGGACAAGGTCCGCAGCTTGGGAGTGCTCCTCGACCCAGAGCTTTCACTGAAAGCTCAGGTGACAGCGGTGGCGAGGAGCGCTTTCTTTCAGCTTCGGCTGATCCATCAGCTGCGCCCCTACCTGGAGAACGACTGCCTGGCGACAGTGACACACGCGTTGGTGACTTCCCGACTTGACTTCTGTAACGCGTTCTACGTGGGACTGCCCTTGAAGATGGTCTGGATACTTCAATTGGTTCAAAATAATGCTGTCAGGCTGCTGACGGGGACTGGGCGTTATGTTCACATGACTCCAGTCCTCCGTCAGCTTCACTGGCTCCCCATTGAAGTCTGGGCCCAATTCAAGGTGTTGGTTATGACCTTTAAAGCCCTTAACGGCTTGGGTTCTGGTTACCTGAAGGAGCGCTTACATCCATATATGCCTGCCCGCCGCTTGAGTTCAGCGGGAGAGGCCCTTCTCCGGGAACCCTCTGTGAAGGAAATTAGGAGGGTAAGTACTCGGAGGAGGGCTTTCTCTGCGGTGGCGCCCAATCTATGGAATGCACTCCCCAGAGAGGTCCGCCTGGCGCCGTCGTTATTTGTTTTTCGGCACCAGGCAAAGACCTTTTTATTCAAACGTTATTTTAATTGTTAATATTATTTATTTATTTTATTCTTTGGCCAGGGCGACTTAATTTATACTGTTAAATTATATTGTTTTATATTATGTTATTTATTTATGATTGTGAGCCTCCCCGAGGCTTCGGTGAATGGAGTGGCATAGAAGTTCCCTAGATAGATAGATAGACAGACAGACAGACAGACAGACAGGCAGACAGACAGATTTAATGGGGATGGGACCTATTGCAGGCATCCTTCCAAAGAGCCCTCAAAGCCCCTGAGCTGGCTTTGAACAAAGTACTCAACCTAGAGCACACGCATTCGGAATAAATCCAGTGATGCTCAGGGGGATTCTGCTTGGAAGTGGGCCCAGTTGTATTTCTTGGGATTTTGTCCCAATCCCACACAAGGGATTGCAGCATTAAAATCCAATCTGTTTTGTCCCCCAGTAACTTGTATAATACTTGATATTGTAAGAAACATTGCTACACTTGTGCTTTCCCTGATGTAGTGGAGGAGCAGTATTCTAAAAAGGCATTGTTCAAGGTAGTCAGTGAGCCTGATCTGGAACCCTTTGTAGGGATCACAAGGTATTATCTGTACTGCTGGCAACATTTATTTAACTGACACATGCATAAATCTTTTGCTTCCATACTTAACCCCTTTCACTCCTCCTTTTGCAATTTGAAGTCTAGGAAACCCTCAATTAATGATAGTTTTCTGTTTTCTCTGAACCAAGAAATTGTGATTTCCAACCTTGGAACAAGATGGGTGTAGAGAGGACTGAACCTAGGCCCCTGTTCATGTGAATGATGGTTCTCGCACTGCACTGTAGGCCCTCAGTAAGGTAGAAAAAGCCATTACTGCCCAGCCTCTGGGCTGAAATTTCAGTGCCTCAGACTGCTTCCTGTTGGTTCTTGATAAACACATCTTGCTTATCCAGCAATTACTCGTGGCCCTCCAGTCATTTTGGCCTGTAATTCTCACCATGTTGTTCCCCACAGACTATGCTGGCAGGGACTGATGGGCTTTGTAAGCCAGA